CTTTTCCCTACCTACCCAAATGTTCCACCAGCTTCAGCACCTGGACCAGTGGACAGCTCAGCCCGGGCCGACTGCCGGCAGCACTGACGCTCTGAGCTCTAACCAAAGCTCTCTCGTGCTTCAGTGGGGCATCCTGACTTACGAGAACACCATTTCCTACGAGACCACTGCCGCTGGGTGCATATTCAATTCAAACCTCCTTAAGCTGTCGGATTTCCCCCACCCATCCACCCTCCCCTCTTCTCCACCCTCCACACAAAAACAGAGAAGGGAAAAAGCCCAATACCATCAGGGCGTTTGTTGATCAACTTACACTTTGCTTTTTGAATATTTAGATACTGCTAGCGGAGCAATAGCAACGCAGGCTTAGGTCCACGTTAAGTACCTTTGTTCATCGACTCCTGCAAGCCCTGTTTATTAGAATCTACATTTCTCTAGCTCCGCAATAACTAGAGGTGTGTTTTGCGGGCAGGGGCTTTCAGCACCTTTTGATCTCTCAAGGCCACCGCGACTAAGTCTCAGTCCCTACTACTTTCCCACCCTGTCCCCCACACTCCAACACCCATCCCAGTCAAACGTTTGGTAATTTGCCACCAAATATACATAAAGAAACGCGACAAAGCAGTCGGTTTGAGGAAATAAGCCAATTAAGCTAAAGCAGAAATGCTTCTCTTACTCCCCCTCCCCCTTGCCTCCCTCCCTCTCCCTCTCTCCTTCCCTCTCAAGTAGAAAGGGGGAAACACCAAGGAGAGGGGAAAAATAGGGAGGAGGGTGGTAGTCGACTCCTACAATCAATGGAAAATCACTGTACACATCTTTACTGAATAATGCTCTCGTTCTCAGACAAAAAGAAACACATTTATCGATGTAAACATAGTCTCCCTCTTCCACACATCCTACATCCTTTACGTTTGCAGAGATTTGTCTTGCAGTATAGCAAAGTAACTGTCACAAATCCATCTCGATTGAAAGTGCTTACCCTCTAAATCCAGGTTTCAAGCGGAACTCCAACCGTGTGCAGAAGCTAGAGAGCCATCTGAGGAGCGGTAGGGTAGGCTCTGGGCAGTGGGAGCTGCTCCCTCGGAGTGCCGGGTTACAGCGTTAACAAGCTCTGGAAAGGGACCTCGATGCATCGCGCTGGCTGTGCCCCAGTGCCTTCGCGTGGTGGCGGCTTGCTCACGCTTCCGATGTGTCCCAGGCGATAGCCTTCAGCTGATGCGAGCTTCCAGAAAGGAGTGGGGAAGGGTAAAAAATCATCTAATGCAATCAAATCGATCTGATCTACACCATCTGTCGCCTGCCACTACACACAAACGTTAAAATAGGAAAACGGAAAACACTGACAGCCCGAGAGGGTTGGTCTGCAAAGAGTTCATTTTTAGCAGAGCATAATTGGGTATGGTCGGCATACAGTTACAAAAGCTGCTGTTAACCATCCAGTAGTGGATCCCAAACATGCTAATGGTGGATTAATTGAGGAAGATCTGACGTGCAAGCTTCATAGTCTCTTATTCATGACTTCCCAATGGGAAAGGACCAATGCCTTGTGGGACTATGGTAACATACAGTCAAAAAGCTGCTAAGAAAATGGCTGTGTGTTCACAGCACCTCTCTCTGATAACAAACATATGTCGACTAAAACGGTTTAGTAGAATGGGAGGGGGGGTGTTGGAGAATAAAATTTTCTTTCCTGGTATAAGCAATCCTCATCTTCTTTCCTTAAAGAAAAACAAAAATAGATACCATATCTTTACCACAGTGGAGGGAAAAGGATTTTTAAAAGGTTTTTTTTTTTTACCAAGATTAAACTATGCCATATAAAACAAACCGAACACTCCTGTGCAGCAATTCTAAAAAAAAATCTATTATCATTTTTTTCCTTACTGTGATCAAAGTGGATCCATAGCATGTGCAGTTTATAGAAACTCGAACCAGTTAATCCCACCAGGATTGACTCGAGGTTGTTTAATGCCAGGTACCCTTTTGACTTCTTGAAATCAGGATGCCTCTTGGACAAGACATTTTGCATCACTGAAAATTGACATAATGAATGTTAAGTGTGATTGCAGTGAGGACATGGGGGAAGTTCTCTTTTTTTAATTCTACATTTATTCCCTCAAGCCAAAACCCCTTTTGGTTTGTTTCTAGACTTTCAGATCAGCTGATGGGGAAGGTACAGGGATTGGGGAGGGAGTAGAGATACTGGGGGTGGGGGAGGCAGGGTGTAGATTATCAATAGCTAGTAAATTCTGTCTATCTGTACTAAAAATATATGGCAATAAAAGAGATCATTTAATTGTTGATCACGATATTTAAAATATAAGCCAGTTTTCAAAATTAATGGTTTATATGTGGAAAACAATATACTGCAAACAATAGGGTGACTGTCCCTAATCCATTTGTAATTTTAAGATTAGAAAAGGAATATAGTTTATTATCTAGATATGTAGCTTTCTTTTAATATCTGTATCTAAATAGTCCATATTTCCTCTAATGTCATCCATTTAAACATTGAAAACTGTTCATTTTGATTTTGCTGCCTTTTCTTTTTTTTGAGAACTAAATTACATGTACTCATAGCAAACAATCAAGTGTTTAGGATAATTCTTCAGATAGCTAAATATGTCTCCTGAAACTTTGATAATCTCTTAAGAAAAAAAGATCTAACAGTTATGAATTAGATTAGTCTAAAAATATAGCTCTAAGACAAATCAAACAATTTACCTGATCTTTTGTTTCAATATACATTAATTAAGCACTGTTTCCAACCTACACAACATTCCAGGGTCAGAGTCAGAAATCCAAGTCTAATAGCTCAGCAGCCTTTGTTGTCATTCGTGTCAAGCTATTGCCCCCTGCAGGTAAGGCTGAAAGTGCAGGCAGAATTCAGCCAAGTCCTCAGGAAATTTATGGTAGTCCTTTTATTTATTCTCTCTCAATATTTAAGTAGAGTAGACTTTTTAACTTTGTTTACACTATAGTTTTAAAATATTCATTCAAAAATATATAGTTAATTCATAAAAAATGAAATTTAGTAAAGGTAATCACAGTTTTCCTGCTGAGAATTTTGCCGGGTGGAATGGACCATCCACTTTGTTATCACCCAGGAAGTACCCTGATGCATTCACAATTTCTTCGTTTTCCCTTATTCTTTTTCCACAAGATTCAGCAAAATTCGAAAATGAATGCAACAGAATTGGAATTACGATTTCTGAATAATAAAATAATCATGGGCAATTTGCTACTTGATGTCAGTGTGCTCTTGGTAGATGCAGGGAATGCATTCACATCAAACCCTTTCAGATTCTTTCTACTACTGATATGATGGGGGACAATTTCACTGCTTTTCTTGATTATAAAATGAAACATCATTTCAACTTCCATGCTGTTACCATCCCATCCTCCTTTCCTACAATCAACTTTTCCAAACAAGTCACCTTGCCAAGACAAAAATAAATGTATTGTTGATAGAATAGAAATTAAATTACATCAACTTTTCCATAGTGTTAGAAAGTGGAGCAGGCTTATGAGAATAATTCAGGTTTACGGAAGATTCTTGAATATTTTGGAAGTCATGGTATGGCTACTCACACTGAAAAGAACCCTGCAGTGGTATATCCCTATTATTTAAATGCACGTCTCATTTAGCAGTGGGATAACATGATGCAAAATATCATCAATTTTAATGCCAAATTAGCAATCAGTAAGAATTTTACTCAATCAAATGTTAGTATTATTTCCACATTGTGTTAAGCAGTTAGAATCAGGAAAAGCATTCTGCTACCTTACAGTTATTCTGTAACATTCACAAAAAACTTATTTATAAGTGGCAAGACTCAGGGTTTTCTTGGAGGAATTTTTAACCTACTTTTTCCAGATCCTCCAGAAGAGAAACAGGGGACAGGAACAGGAGATGACTAGGTCATATTTTAAATAAATCTAAGAAGAAAACCAACCAAACAAACAAAAAACAAAAACTTGATGGCCTATTATCGTTTTATCACATTTTTAAAGCTTGTTGTTAAATTTCAAAAGGACACTACATCTATAAATTAAGAAAGATCTTTGCCTCTGCATTAACACTCTTGCTCCAAGCATAGAGAGGCTATGGAGTAGACTGTTGGACGATTAATCATACAACTTGTAGCCAGACTAGCAACTGGTAGCCTGCAGCAGTCATTGCTAGTTGTCTTTGAGTGGACATTTTTAAAGAAAAGAAAATTCACCTCTCCTTCAAAATTATAAATCATACACATGGCATGATTATATATAGAGACACACACACTGCTGATGAAGCAGAAAATTTCAACTTCTTTGATTCAAACACCTATCAAATACCTATCGACGTAGTTGCTTTTAATTAGCGCCCGGAAAAGCAAAATGGTGTCATTTGACCTGTGGATTTGAATCAAGGGGACCGTTTGTTAGTTCTCTCCAGACACGGCGCAGCAGATTGCTGGCAAGTGCCCTGAAAAACAATTATTTTCTCTTGCTATCACCACTATTGTTTTAATTGTTTCTAAAGGATTCTGAGTTCCAGAACCTTTGTAATGTTCTGTTATCGGAATCCTGGGTTATTAGACATGCTCATCCTTAGAAGCAAAAGACAAGGCAATCTTATTCATATACATCCTATGACTCAACTCACTTTCTACTTGGCGGCCGCGCGTGTGTGTATGTGTGTGTGGGTTCATCCTGAAAGCCCTTGTTTCCCGAGGTTTTCAAATGCAAATAGAGTGGGAGTGGTGGGAGAGGCGGTGGAGTGCGGTGCGTGGGTGTTGGGGGCTTTGCGGAGAGGGTGTCACTTTACACAAATTCAAGGCCATCATTACTACTGCAGATCAAAACAACTTAACTCTGAGAGACCACCCCCCTCCCCCACCCCCGCCTTAGAAAGATACATCTTCCTAATCTAGACAGAGGCCAGTTTAGGCAGGCCCAGTGCTCGCGCTGTTCTGAGGGAGGGTCCCGGAGCCTGCGGGAGGCCAGTTCTCGCGGGCCGGCCTCGGCGCCGAACTCCCGTGGAGCGGAGGGAAGCGCGCTAGTTGCCAGGCCCCGTGCGCCATCGCCGAGGAAGGCCGGACGCCCTGGGCCCGGGTCTCGGCTCACTTTTCTCAGAAGCTCCAGAGCGGGGCAAGGGCACCGAGGTCGCGACATGGACCCTGGTTTCAGCGCCTGCAGTCCGCCAGCTCTGGCTCGGCTCCGGGCCTCCTCAGGGAGAGCGAGGGAGCGAAAACTCAACCTACGTCCTGGAACTCAGATCGAGGAAGGGAAGCAAAAGCAAAGGTGTGGTTACACAAGACAACGGTAGACGAACCGTTGCTCTTGGCTAAGTCGGCCTGGGCTTTGCAGCCCCAGAAGCGCGGTACCGTCGGCGCGGGGGCGAGGGCGTGGACAGTCGCCGCCCTCCCCGCGGCGCCGCCGCGCGCTCCAGGGCCCTCCAGCGGCCTGGCCTGCGACCCCGGTTCTCCCCCTAACGCCCGCGCGAGGAAGGCTGCCCGGAGCCAAAGGCGACCTGGGCTGAGGCCGGAGCGAGACAGCGCCACGGGACCCGGGAGCTAGAGGAAGGCGGTGTCTCGGACCCTTCCCTGAAAACGCTCTGGTCCTCCAGGATTTGCCAAGTCTAAAGCAGCTCCAGGAAGGCTGCGCGAGCTTTCGGAGAAACCCACTGTGGGGCTCACCCCGGTCGGTCTCAAGCCCTCGCCTCCTCCCCTCTTCAGATCCACCACCCTCCCCGGATCCCGGGCCGCGCGGGCTGAGCCTGCGGAGCCGTGGAAGTGAGGCTTCAGGCGGAGCGAAGGAGCCCCCTGCTGGCCACACGCGACAGGCGCGGCCACCCACTCCAGGTTCCCTCCGCCCCGCGGGCGCGGCCCCGCCCTGACCCTCCTCGACCCTGGCGCTGGGGGCGTGTTAAAAGAAACAGCAAAACAAAACAGCACCCAAATCCACTCTCACCTCATCTACTGCTCGGAGGTAAGTTTGAGCCCAGCCTGTCCCACGTCGTTCTCTGGCCCTTCTCTGGGCTGAGGTCTGTGAGAGACAAAGGGGCCACCCCCCCAAAAAAGAAATCCTGGCTGTTTTTGAAAGCACGTTTTGCAAGCATGAAGATAAACACGCACATGCACACGCATGCACCCGCATACACCACTTAACCAAATCCACACTTACCAGTCCGCAAGAGGACTACTGATGTAGCATGTTTCTGGAAGCATTTCATTAGCTCTTGGGGGAAATGTTTACTAATATTTCAGGTTGTAGGCAACAGCAATAACTCTGGATCCGAAATGAGAGCGGAGAGGAAAAAAGATGTTCCTTAGTTTATTACTTCCTCCCATTCCTGGACGTGAGTCCCACGTTTAGTCTCAAGCCCTAGCATGGAGAGAAGTTTTCACCCTCCTGCTGAGAAGAAGAGAGAGAGAGAGATCCAGCCATTTCTGGGGGGTTTCCATGTCCTCCCCATTACTCACCAGAGTACCTGGGAAGGAATTGTTCTGTTTATCTAGACTATTCATGAAGTAATTCTGTTTGGCGGTTTGAAATTGGTTTAACCTTGAAATAGGCTACATGCTTTTAGTGTCAGTTTTTTCTGTGCTTAGGTAAAGGTTATTAGAAATCACAATGTTTGTTTCTATTAAGGCAACCTTGAGTTAGAGATGGGCATAATATCTTACTGTAGCTTTTAGTAATGTCTGTTGCCTCTGAATGTTTGCTGTCTTTGGAGGAGCAAAATTAAAAAAAAAATAAGTTTAGGCAAGAAATATAGGCCCAGTAAAGGATCAGTACTATTTGCTTCCACCTTATTCATACACTCTTCTGGGGAAAGAAAGGAAAAGATTTTGACTGTCCCTATGACTAATTTATAGTAGGCAAGATTCAAGAGAGTATTTTTTAAAATAGTGTCCGTTTTCTTATTTGGCGTTTTCAGATGGTTGACAGAATATTCAACCTGCTGATAAGGAAGGAAATGTGGCTGATACAGAGTGGGATCTGATTATCTCTTTTACATATATTTACCAATCCAGGCGATCTGAGTAGGTCATATTATTAAAACTCCTCTGGAAGATAATAAGAACAACTATAATACTGACAACATGTACTGAGTTGTGGTACTAATGATAATTCAGCCTTTACTTGAATCATCTCATTTACTTCTTACTGCAGTCCTGTGGATAAGGTACCACTGTAGTTTCTCATTTTGCAGAACAGGAGAGTAAGTTTTAGAAAGGTTTCCTTACTCCACCAGGGTGACAATGGGTGGTAATTAGAAGAGCAACAAGGATCTGAAAGCAGGCAGTAGTACAGAAATTTTCAGAAATCATGCTTATTGTATTGAACTAAGGCTGGTAATAAACTATTATTTTAGGTTTGAGTTTTAGCCTTTCATGGAAAAAATAAAGGATAATCTTTTCTGGAAAGAAAACATTTGATAAAATGGAAGTTTTTGAAAATGTTTGTTACCTGAAAAATGTTTGTTGTCAATTTACTGAGGCCATTTTACAGATAAGAAAACTGAGAGAATAAAATGGTTTAGCTACTGTAGTAAGGTGCATAGCCAGGCCTTAAAACCATATTTGCTGATTCTAGCTCCTTTGTCTATTCTCCTTAATCACACTGTCCAAACACAAAAAGATCCAAAATGCTAAATAGTTGATCATTAACAGAGCCCAAATTTCTCAGTAAGGTAACTTTCATGTTAATTGTGAATACCTTTTTATACTGAAAGGATGCAAATGTAGAAATAGTGCTATTCTTAGTGGTGAATTAAATGATGTAAAACCAGTAAAAAATAAAAACAGCTGTATCAGTTTTACTTGAAAAGAAGTTAAAGCACTTAGAAAGATATGTGAAAGGCCTGTCTCAATACGTTTTTAATTTTTTCAGCCCCACAAGACCCATCTTACCCTATGCCAGGAAAGTCATTCCACATTACATTTCTGCTAGCTTTTTTTCATAAAGGAGTTTAACACTTACAAGGGTTTGGTGCTTTTCATCTCCATTCATATATTTCTTCTTTGTTCTGTGAATGGTTACAGTAAAAATGTCAAATCTCTGGAGTGACCACTTTAATGGTTAAAAAAAATTATGCATTAATTGGCAAGAGATTTTTGACTGGCATCCACATTTTAATGCATACTTACAATGCACTGAAGTATACTGTGTAGAATTGATTTACTCTGTGTTGTAAAGTTAGCTCAGATACAGAATGTGCTTCATTAAATGGTCTTAGGGTTCCTCCATTTTCATCAGAAAAAGCCAGATGAACGGCCTAAGTCACTGGTTGGACTGCAGCCCATCTGTCTCAGCTTTCTTAGTCATTTGTGTGTAAATTATTTGGCCACATGGCCTCCTGTCATATTGGGGATCTGTGATTTTTCCAAAGGTTTAATTTAGTTGAATATGATTGCTATACTGTTAAATTAGGAATTCTCTCCTTCCCACCTCTCATGAAAACCCTTAGTATCAGTATCAGTTTGAAACTATATGTGGTATAATAAAGCTTGCTTGTCTGTGTGAATTTGTACCATAAACACTTTCACAGATTATTAGACTTGAAGGGCTTTTTGAAATTATTTAATTTAATCCTTTTATTTTACTGATGGATAAATTGTCCTAGGAGGTAATATAAAATTCTTGAGGTCACCTGTCTAGTTAGCGGGAGAATGAGAAATGGAGCCCTTATTTCTGTATTTAAGCTCTAAGGTGAGTGTATTCCCACAGCATCACGTTCCTTCTGTATTTGATTGTGAGTGATTCAATCACTCATTTAACAACTAGTTATTCCCATGAACTTGGCAACTGTCCTAGGCATGAAGAATTCAACAAAGGGAAAAATAAAACAATCTAGAAAAAGGCTGTATTCTGTTGAAACATATTTTAGTGGTGAACAAAATCAAATGCCAATCTTAACAATGGTTACAAAGACATTTTATAAAGATATTTTTCTTTAAAAGTACCTTTTATGTGTTGTACTGTGGAAGGTGGACAAAAACATGAAGTCATTGATGGGAAATTAGTAAATGGAAATAGCAAACCTTAACCAGGTAAGTAGGGCCCTCTGAGATGATCCATTCATGAGTCAAAGGTAATTCTTTCTCAAGAGTCTTTCTGTGATTTGGGATTAAAGGCCTGTGAGAAAACAGACTTATGGAGGAACTGGGATAAAGAAATAATAAAGAGATCAAAGAGGAAATCATTCAACAAGATGTTTTTAAAAATGACACATTTTCGAATGGATATTAGATTGTCCTAGCAGATGAACCAAAGATTAGGACAGCACTAGCTTGAGAGTTTAAGGCAAAAGCCTCAGGGTCTGTCATAATTGTTCTTTGTGATTATCTCAACTTTCACCTTATAGATTATGATATACGGTCACTCCCTTATCAATTCGCCCTGCCAAAAGGAATAACTGGGGAGAGAAAGGTATAAAAATTTCACTCCTGTAAAATCCTCTATTGTTTCATTATTGTGAGATTCTTCAAAAACAATATTTTTCAGAAATAGAACTTATTAAGTAAAAAAGCTACCAAATGATTAGGATACCGCAGTTTACTAAAATCCCTCACCTGCTGCTTCCCCCACAAACATTTTAGCTTGTCAGAGTTTGAACTATTGGGACCAATGGTCAATTGTCTGATACCCACATTTACCGCCAGTGAGGGGCAATTTATTGCAGGGTTTTACTGTTATTTGGCTTACCCATGAAATGAAATTCTCTCTTGGCAAATACACAGAGTGCAGTTTTTAGTTAATTATGGGGGTGGGGCAGGAAGAAGAGAGTGTTATGTAGTAATGCAAGGGGAAAAAGTACATTCACCTGGTGAAGTTTCTCTTGTGCTCTCTTCTGCCAATTTAATTTGCATTTTATTCTGGGTTCCAGTAAAGCAATAATATAATAATAATAATATAATATAATACTACTCTAATATTATAGTAGTATAATATATTAGTTAATAATAAAATTTCATAGTTTGGCTATTTCCTACTTTGGTCTTCTATATGTTAGTCATATGACAGACTGAATTGGCTGGAGTAAACCGTCAGATGACTGTTCCATTGTTGGGGCCCCCAAATCCAATTCACTGTATTGTGAACTGCTGAGGAACTCTTGCAATATTTCTCTTTCATGTTGCTTCGATGTCATGTGTTATTGTTAAAAAAGAGACAACAGGCCCCAAATGGAGTCACTTGTGCTTAAGCCCCACATCAGCAAACCAAGAATTAATACCTAACTTAACTACAGTTTTGGTCTCTTCCAGAATGTCATCTTTCCAGTTAGCCTGGAATTATTTGGTCAGCACTAGTGTGGTAACCCACCTGCTGACCCTTTCATTACCCCATAAGAAGATGACCTTGCCTGAAACAATGCATTCTTTGCTAGAAATTTCCCTTTCCTACCCCTTTCTGAAGGCTTCCATTTTATACAGCTGCTCAGGGACCATTTTTACTTGCTAGATGGGATGATGCCTGATTCATGGATTGCTGAATAAAGCCAATTAGATCTTCCAATTTGCTCAGTTAAATTTTTTAAAAATAATATCAACTAAGGAAATGATTAGTTGTATCCTCAGGGGAGTCACTGATCTATTTCTTGCCTCCAAGCTTAAACAAAACCAAACGACAACTACAAGAACTGTTGAATTGCAGACAAATGGTTGAATGGTTCACTATTAGCTCTATTACTGAGTTACAAGAAGTCTGAATCTCCTTTAACTTTTTCTACCTGCAGGCCAGTTAAGATAGCAATAGGATATTCCCCCTCCATGATCACTGAAAAAAGTATTAAGTCTTAAAAAAGGAAAACATGAGGTCCAAGTTCTTTCTGATCTGCTTTAAGATGAGTGAGCTTATGGAACAATTATGTTGTATCTCCCAAGTGATGTGACTAAACTTTGTGGAGAGGTGAAAAGGTCTTTGTGAATCATGCAGCTTTTGGAGCCAACCCTCTGTAGAAAGAAATAAAGAAAGGCAGATGG